GCCAAGCTGGGCGAGGACCGAGGGGAAACACTCAGAGTGGATCGGCTTCAGCACCTCGCGGTCCCTGCGGGCATTGCGGGAAGCCAAACCACACCGAAGATAATTGCTGGAGGAAACAAGGTAAATGTCTGCGATGTGGAAGCGCGGACCACCAATTGGTTACTTGCCCAGTTCTGAAACAAGATGGAAAGGGAAACCAACCCCCGCCGAGGACCAATACTGGACTAGTGAAGGGAGATGGGTCCAAACCGAAAGTTTCAGCTTGGGTTTACTCCTTAGAGCCCCATCAGGTTCCAGAGTCTTCGGAGGTCGTAGAAGGTACGATCCCTATTTTCCACCGTTTTGCCAAAGTTTTAATTGATCCTGGTGCCACTCATTCGTTTGTTAACCCTGATTTCATGTGTGGCATCGATATAAAACCTGCTAGTTTACCTTATGATCTAGAAGTCAGTACACCTACGGGAAATCAACGTTTGGTGACTAGTATGGTTTATAGGGATTGCGATGTATGGGTAGGTGAAAGGAGGTTTTTAGGGGACCTGATTAGCTTGTCCATTAAGGGGTATGATGTGATTTTGGGTATGGACTGGCTAGCCAAATATAACGCCCAACTGGATTGTAAAACGAAGGTGGTGGAATTTCGCATTCCTGGCGAGGCAACCTTAAGGCTAGATATAAGGGGTAGGTTAGCCTCATCTGCTTTGATTTCGGGCATTCGAGCTAGGAAACTGATAAGTAGAGGGGCGCAAGGATTTTTGGCCTTTTTTATTAACACCCCTACGGATAAGTTAAAAGTGGAGGACGTGGCCGTAGTGAGGGAGTTTCCAGATGTATTTCCTGATGAGTTAGTCGCTTTACCTCCAGAAAGGGAGATAGAATTCCAAATAGATTTGTTACCTGGAACTGCACCTATCTCAAAAATCCCTTACCGAATGGCGCCTGCGGAACTTAAGGAACTTAAGTTGCAATTACAAGATCTTTTGGAGCGGGGATTCATTCATGAGAGTGGGTCTCCTTGGGGAGCTCCTGTTCTGTTTGTGAAGAAAAAGGACGGAACCTTGAGGATGTGTATTGATTACCGAGACTTGAACAATGTTACGATCAAGAATAAATATCCACTGCCCCACATCGACGAGTTGTTCGACCAGCTGCAAGGTGCAGTGGTCTTCTCCAAGTTGGATCTTCGACAAGGATATTATCAGTTGTTGATTAGAAAGGAGGATATATCGAAAACTACTTTCAACTCGAGATATGGGCATTTCGAGTTTGCCGTTATGCCTTTTGGACTGACCAATGCTCCCGCCGCTTTTATGGATCTAATGCATAGGGTTTTCAAACCCTATCTAGACCGATTTATCGTTGTGTTCATTGATGACATTTTGGTCTACTCTAAGACACGCGAGGAGCATGAAGAGCATTTGCGAGTGGTGTTGCAGACGTTAAGGGAACATCAGTTGTACGCCAAGTTTAGTAAATGCGAGTTTTGGCTGGAGAAAGTAGCATTTCTAGGGCACGTGATCTCCCACGAAGGTATTTCGGTGGACCCGGCAAAGGTAGAGGCTGTGACAAATTGGAAGAGACCCGAAAATCCCACGGAAATTCGTAGCTTTCTAGGTCTAGCTGGGTACTACCGCCGTTTCATTAAAGATTTCTCCAAACCAGCAGGACCTTTAACTGATTTGACGAAGAAGCATGGTCGGTTTGTTTGGAACGGCCGGTGCGAAATAAGTTTTCAGGAATTAAAGAGAAGATTGACCACGGCTCCAGTATTGGTCTTGCCAAATGGAGTGGACGGGTTCGCGGTGTACGCAGATGCGTCGCGAGAAGGCCTAGGGTGTGTTTTGATGCAGAACCGTAATGTAATTTCTTTTGCCTCTAGGAAGTTGAAGCTTCATGAGTAGAATTACCCGACCCACGATCTGGAACTAGCCGCGGTTGTGTTTGCTCTGAAAAAGTGGAGGCATTACCTATACGGGGTGACCTTTGAAGTGTACTCGGATCATAAGAGTCTTAGGTACCTTTTCTCCCAGAAGGAACTAAATATGAGACAACGGCGATGGATGAAATTTTTGGAGGATTACGACTGCACAATCAACTACCATCCGGGAAAGGCAAATGTGGTAGCTGATACCTTGAGTCGTAAGGTGCAAGTAGCAGGGTTGATGATTAAAGAATGGGGTTTATTAGAGACCGTCTGTGAGTGGAGACCCTGTCTTGGGAGCCATAAGGTGCTATTTAGCAATGTTAGGGTGACCTCCACTCTACTGGAACGTATTAAAGAGGGGCAAAACGAAGATTTGATGGTAAAGAAGTGGAGAGAGAAAGTGGAGAATGGAGAAACAACGGACTTCAATTTGAGTCCTGAGGGTATTTTGAAATATCGAAACCGAATAGTGGTACCGAAGGAGGAGTCGTTAAAAATGGAGATTTTGGAGGAAGCTCATCGGTCCAAGTATACAATCCATCCGGGTAGCAGCAAGATGTATCAGGACCTGAAAGGAACCTATTGGTGGGACAACATGAAGAGGGAAATTGCCCGGTACGTGCAAAAGTGTCTCATTTGCCAGCAGGTGAAAGCAGAACATAAAAAACCATCGGGTCTGTTACAACCCTTGGAGATACCCGAGTGGAAGTGGGAAAATATCACAATGGACTTCGTTTCCGGTTTACTGAGGACGCAAAGAGGACACGATGCCGTTTGGGTGATCGTTGATCGCTTAATCAAGTCGGCCCATTTCTTGCCGGTGAATATGAAATATTCCATGGACAAGTTGGCCCGACTGTACATGGACGAGATAGTAAGGAATGAAATGTGAGATGTTAGGGTTTCAAAACCCCTAATTCTGTCCGGTTTTAGATCATAGGGTTAGAGGCCGAATTGGACTTTGCTCAAAACATGAAAGTTGTAGGTATTGATGAGTTTGAAGTGCCTGCAAAATTTCAGGGCATTTGGAGTAGTATAGAGTGAGTTATGTCGTTTTTTACTGTTGCTATTTTTGGTGAACAGAATGTGCGAACTGCGATAGTAATTGTCTGTTTTGACTGGAATTGGTTTGGATTTTGTTGTTGGTGTCTTCTGATGACGTTTATGGGTTCTCACAAACTCCACCAAAACTTCATGACGTTTACTATAATTAACTTTCCTTTTGTTTACATTACAGAACCAGAAAAGCCACGTTGCTCTGCACATGTTGCGTATCGTTCAGGTCACTCTACATCGCGTCAGCCTTTTTATTAACTTTGGAAGTATTGTATATAAAGAACAACTTTATATAAAGTGGGAATGGATCTTGGTTCTTGCTGGTCTTTCGTCCTCCAACTCCTGTGCAAATCACGTGGCCTGCGTCCCATTCTTCTTTTAAAGTTTGTTACTGCCTTTTTAGTCCTCCGTCATCATGCACTATTAGTCATCCGTCATCATGCACTATCTATCTTCTATTTTTTTCCCCCTCAATTCAGATTGGTTACTAACCATTATTTGCTTCTTTTTTTATTACCCCTGCTGTTTTTTTTTCTCCCCTGCTGTTTTTATTACCCCTTCTTTTATTATATACCTATCTTCTATTTAGTCTTTATATATATATATTATATATTTTTAGTTATAAATTCTTATCCCTATTCTATTTCGCTATCCAGTATTTGCTTCTTTTTTATATAGTACCCATGATTTTTTTTTCTCCTCCTTTCAAATAAATATTTCATACATTTTTAAATAAATATTTCGTACATTTTTAAAAAAACTTGTTGTTTATCCCCTATTTCATATTACTTGCTCTGTTGTTATTACTACCTGACTATCTTTTTTCCCTTTTGCTAAATAATTTTCGTCTTATTCTCTATTTAACATTTTTCACTTTTTTACTCGTATTATTATATTGTATATTATATGCCTATCTTCTATTTAGTCTATTTTTTTTTTGTTTTCAATTCTTTTCCATGTATTATTTCGCTATCCAGTATTTGCTTCTTTTTTATATACTACCCATGCTTTTTCCCTTTTTCTCTCCTCCTTTCAAATAAAAATTTAGTACAGATTTTTTTTTTACTTATTATACTGCTAATACAAATGCTGGATTAGTATACCAACTAAACAGGCCATTAATAATCGCGCCATTAAAAGCAGACGCCTTCCTGGTCTCTACCATTGGTCGGCGGATTCCTCTCTCAGCATACGCAGCCAACAATCCATTAATTTTTATGGTCTCCATGCAAAAAAATGCACGTCTTCGGCCATGCTTTCCCGGGTTCTGGTGCATGCAAGAGAAGCCAGGTAATCATTTCAGTTTTTATGGTGTAAACTGAATTCGTTTAGAGAGGCTGCTTTAGAGCTAGGCCTCTTAGAATTTGATTCCTATATTGAGGCAACACTTGAAGAAGCTGCTGGTTTTCAGATGCCTTCTTCGCTTAGATTTTTATTTGCTACTTTGCTTTTGCATTGTGCTCCAACAAATCCAAGCCTTTTGTGGGAAAATTTTGAAATGGAACTTTCTAGAGACTTCGCACGAGCGCAGGTACAGACTCATTGTTCAGCTGCTGAAATAAGGCAGAAAGTTCTGTTTGATATTAACAAATCGTTCCAGCATATGGGGAGGCATATCAGTGAGTACAAGTTGGTTGCAGATTCTATTACTCTCGGCTGTCATGACAGCATGACCAAGGAAGTGGACAGTGAAATGAATGTTGTGGTGTCGCCGGAAGATCTCTTGATAGCTTCTAAGTTAAATGCAGAGCAAAAACATGCTTATGATTTGATATTGCAGTCTGTTTTTTCGTCCAGAGGCCAGAGTTTTTTCATTGATGGTCCAGGTGGGACTGGAAAAATGTTTTTGTATCGCTCTCTTCTTGCGACACTTAGATCGTAGGGATATATTGCGATAGCTGTAGCAACTTCAGGAGTTGCAGCATCACTTCTTCCTGGAGGAAGGACTGCTCACTCCAGATTTAAAATTCCGTTGGACTTTTCCAGGAATAAAACGTGTCAGTTGAGCAAGCAGAGTAGCATGGCACAGTTAATCATTGAATGTAAGTTATTCTTGTGGGATGAAGCATCAATGGCAAAAAGAGACACTATTCAGGCATTTGACGAATTGTTGAAAGATCTAATGGAGACTAGCGATCCTTTTGGAGGTAAAGTTGTAGTTTTCGGGGGCGATTTTCGCCAAACTCTCCCCGTTATTCAAGGGGCTACCAAGGACCAGCTAATTCAGGCTAGCCTCCTGCATTCTTCATTATGGTCTAGTATGCACAAAATAAAGCTAAAACATAACATGAGGGCTGTCTTAGATCCTGCCTTTTCGCGGTTCTTGCTCGCTGTTGGGGAAGGTGCAGAACCTGTTGATGCAGATAACCAGATTTGTTTACCAGGTCATATGGTTATACCATTCCACAATATAAAAGATTCTTTAGACAGGTCCTCTACATTTCCTGTGCTTCATCGCACGTTCCTGTCCTTTTTCATCAGTATTACTTCGTTTATCTTTCACAGATTTCTAACAAAAAAATTTTTCAACCAGGCTGATAGCTTACACGTTTCCAGATTTGAATCTCTACTCATCTAATCCGTATGAGATGATCAGTAGATGTATTTTAACCCCAAAAAACACCTCTGTTGAAGACATCAATGAAATGATGATTCAAAGGTTTCCTGGACAGCTTTTTACTTATACAAGCTCTGACCAAACTGTTGATCAGAGATTCCAGGTAGATTATGAGGACTTTTTGAATTCTCAAAATCCAAAGGGTCTTCCTCCACACAAGCTCATGCTAAAAGAAAGCTGTCCCTTAATCTTGCTCAGAAATCTAAATCCAGCTGAAGGATTGTGCAATGGCACAAGACTTATTTGTCGGCAGCTAAGACGGCACACTATCTGTGCTGAGATAGCTTTTGGTCAGCATAAAGGGAAGAAGATTTTCATTCCCAGGATCCCATTGCAGACACCTGATAATGAAAAAAATGGGATTCCATTCATCAGAAGACAATTTCCAGTTCGCCTTTGTTTTGCAATGACAATTAATAAGGCTCAAGGCCAAACTCTTGACTATGTTGGTGTATATCTAAAGGAGCCCGTATTTTCTCATGGCCAACTATACGTTGCCCTGTCCAGAGCAAAAACTGCTGATGCAGTTAAAGTCCTCATACTCCCAGGAACTTTTGCTGAAATCAAAACTGACTGTAAAACAAGAAATATTGTGTTTGATGAAATATTGCAGTTGTCTAATTGATCATTTGCACTGTTCGTAGGTAGCTTGCACATTTTAATGTTTTTAGCTATTGTTTTCAGAACTTATAATTTGATTTTTCCTTCCAAACTGAAATCCCTTGCTTATTTACTCTTATTATTGCTAACGAGTGCAGGATGTGCACTATATTATCTATCAATGAAGCTGAGGTCGCTATGGAGAAATGGACAGCAAAGGTCACTGTCCAGGAGAAACAGCAAGTTACCTCATCAATTAGCACACCAACTAGGAAACAAAAGTTTATCTTCATTGATTCTGAGGTATTCAGTGCACTTTACCTTCTATTCTCAAAATCTTATGTGGTAAACTTAGGACTTTAAACGCTGCTCATTTGTCGACCATCATAATACTTCTTTTCCAGGGATCAAAGGTTGAAGGCATCATATTTAATGCTGATATTGCTATAATGAGCCCCAGAATAGAGGTTTACAAAAAGTACCTCATCTCCAATGCTCAGGTCAAAAGAATCCCTGAAAACTTTAGAACCACTGACCTAGCAATCCAATGGATAATCACCAGTCGAATAATTATTGAAGAGATTGTAGACGAAGACGATGTTATAGCTGCACAGTTTACGTATACCAACTTTACGGACTTGGCACAGTACATGGACCGCAAGGACATTTCTGTTGGTCAGTAGCTTTCTTTTTAACCATACTGATCTACCTTGGTTATTATATGCTTTAAGTCTTATTTTTTGAGTTCCTCTCACTAGATATTATGGGAATTGTTATTGCTGCTTTGGATGAAAAAACTGTCACCGTTAATTTAAAGGAAGCACGAGTCCAAAAGCTTGTTCTTGTTAATGAAGAGTAAGGAATCTTTGTTTTTGTATACAATAACTATCTGGTGTTGCAGATTGCAGCCTTTTCCAAACAAAAATAATAATAGTTCCTATGTTTCAAATATGTCAGATTGCAGACACTTATGTTGTCTATGTGAAATGCTTTTATTGACAATGAAGGCTCCAAGATTATTTCGGAAATTCAGAACTATCCTGTTCTTATTGGAAGAAGGCTAAAGGTTCAAAATTATAATGGTGAGTATAACAGTTGCCAGTTACATGTTTTGTCATCTAACCTTTTCTATCTGTTCATTTTTTCAAATCACATATTGCTTCCCCTTTTCTTTTTTTAAGGAGTGGCTCTTTCTACTTGGTTTGATTCAGCAATCCTTGTGAATCCACCTGTCCAAGAAGCAAGGGAACTCAAAAACTGGTTCTGCTCTTATAGTTTTCAGTATTTGTTGCTTATGGACTTTATATACATTATCTGTTTCTTGACAATCATAGATACTTACGAGCTAGTGCCACTCTTTTATTTTTCAACCTCGAGGACGCATAAAAAAATGCTCTTTTCCCTGCTTGGCTCACCATTTTAATATCCTATACATAGGGCAAATAGAAATGCCAAATGCCTTGCAGACATTGTTGCAAAGAGAACATACAATCGATACAATCCTGATCTCTCTTTCCAAGCAGATCAAAAAATTACTGATATATCAAATATCAGCTCAAAACACAAGGTACTGTCTTGATTGCAGCATTATCAGTGGATTTCAGCCTTCAAATAGTTTGGCTAATTCATATACTGGCTTTATTCTCAGAATGTGTGGGTGAAAGCATCATTCTCATTTGATCACATCTTCCAAAAATTTTGGTACATGGGGTGTGAAAAATGCTTCCGCTCCACGTCTGCCGATTATGGTGTCTTGTTCATGTGTAATACTTGTAAACAAAAGCACAAGGTTGAACCAAGGTTTGACCATCATTACTTTATTTGTTTCTTATCATTTCTTCTGCTGCTGCTCATTACATTATCATTTCTTTTCCTCTGCTGTGCCTTATATAAAACTTGCATATTTAATAGGTGTAAATTTGATGTTGACCTCTCTGATGACACCAGAACAGTCACAGCCACAATGTTTGGCGATTTAGCTGAGAAACTGCTAACGTTCATAGCAAAAGAAGCAATGGAGCATTATTTTCAGGTTTGCTCTTACCATGTCGTGTCAGCACATATGTATATGTATTTATGTATATGTATATACATTCTTTTGTTTTGTCCATTGCAGAATATGGTGCTACCACTTGAGGTTCTGCATGAGGACCTAAAATCCAAGAAATTTCTTGCATACATAAGACCTGTACAGGTTCCCTTGGCTGATGCAAAACAACGTTTCACAATGGTATACTACAAGGAAGCTTCTCATGAACAAGTTTCTGTTACAGGCTCCAGTGAACAGGGCTTTATTTGTCCTTCATCAGGTTATAGCCTCTACTTAATCATCTTTGTTTTCACATGTGCATGAATAGCCATATTTGTTTTTCTATAGAAGAGGCATCTTACTGAGTCAGGTATGGTTACTACTTTTCAGCAGGCGGAACGTCTTCTTCCAAAGCTAAAGTTTGTCTTCTTCAAAAATTTGACGAGTCAGATGAGCAGAGGCAATTAAGCTCTGAAGCTCTTCAGCCCAGCCCCAAGAAAAAAACCAGACAAGCTTAGAATTGTTTCCTTTCCAAGCAAACTATCTTTTTTTCTGCGTTGGCTCCTAGGTGCCTTTTTGTGTGGTGAAGGACACCAAGTCTCAACACTTTTTTTACCACTATCATGCTACTGATGTGCCTAGCAAATGCTAAGGAATTTGCATGCATCTGATCTTTGTATTTCTACACATTCTTACTTTTTGCCTGTTAATTTGCATGCCTTTTGCAGCTTAATTTAAAAACGCCATAATCTATAATGTTACCACATCAAGTACCATAAGCACTATAATCATCCGGTACCATCCATTTTGTTTGGAATTAGCATTGACTGCTAGCAGCAAAGAACGTTCTACTCTCCAGTGCATTTATCAAAGCTTTTACCTTTCCCGTTCATTCCTTCTGGAACAATGTGCCATGACTTAACTGTTGGCTTCAAACATCAAACCACGCTGCATCTTTCCAAGACTGCCTTTTTTGCATCCATTACTGATCCTACAGCTATTAGTTCAACCACTTTAAATAAATTCACTGGTTACCAGATACTCTTACAGGCCAATTAATGCTATCTGTTCATGTTATGAAGGCCCTATATATATATATATATATATATATATATGCCAAGAACAGCCTTCTAAAATATTCAGCCTCAGAAGCTAATTACACTTATAACAACCAAGTATGGAGTTCTCTGAAAGCGTTGGATCCTCCAGTCTTCCGCCAAATATTACCGGCAGCATGGAATGCTGCTTCTTCTTTAGGAGTAGCGGTTCTAAGCAGGTACTTTTGATTCTGTATAGTTTTTTCCCTCATGACATGTGCCTTCTTTAATGATAACCAAAGTCTTTCAAAATAATTAGATATTCCCTGCTCAATTTCTGCTGCTTCTAAGAAACCATCAACAGCGTACAATAACTATTCGAGAAGGCTATAGAACATGGACTATCAGCATTTTAGAAACTTGGTTTGGAGAAGGTTGGCAAGACTTCTGCGAGAATAATATCATCCATGAAGACGACACAATGTTCCTTCGACATTCCGGAAACTTGATGTTCGACGTCCTCCATTACTCAGCAACAAAAACGCATGGCTACTTACCTTGGAGTCATCCACTACCTAGTTTGTTGGACGCTCCAGAACATGTTATCGCAAAAAGTTAGTTTTCTCATGCTTAAACACTTCCAGATTTTTAGCATTGTCCTTGTTTAATTTGCCAGCTTTGTACGCTTACCTTTTTTTATGAAACACAGAACAAAGAATGCAGTGTCTGAGAGTAGCATCAGCAATGAAACCAGATTTTGTTCAAGACATCGCTGATGGTCTATCATTCTATGAAATCTTCACTGAGGAAAACCAACATAATTTTGTAAGCTTCAGTTATGTCTTCTTTTATTTTTTCATTCGCTGCTTTCTTTCCCACTAATAACTTTTTCCTTTTGGTTAACAACAGAAAGTGCCCAAATTTGTATCCTTCTTCATACACGGTGACAGAACTCCTCTGGTGACCCTACGAACTGGAAACAAGACAATCACTGTTGGAATGCGTCGAAGACGGTTTGCAACAAATTGGAACACATTTACTTTTGAGCATCAGCTACAATTTGGCGACGCTTTAGTATTTATCCCTGAAACAAAGTCCTGCTATACTGTCCTCATCTTCGACAAGCGTGGAGTCGAAAAGTTGTTCCCTTGGTACAATAAGTTCTGCATCTTTTCTGATGCACCGACCGGTAAAACTTAGCCAACTTCTTTTACGTTTATTCCAGGAGAAACCTTGTCCTTCTTATATGTTCACTAGGCATATGAATGCCAGCTTCTGTTGTCCTTTATTCTTTCCATACGCAATTTACCTTTGCAGTCCGCAGATTTATTCCAACCATTCAGGAAATTGCAGCCAAATTAATGTTCTTTAATTCTATCAAATACAGGAAATTATTTTGCCTACATGGAGTTATCTCTTCACTTTAAATGCCTACAATTTTTTAAAAATCTATTGCACTGACAGTGGGACAAATATTTAAGTTTATTATATTCTACTTTAATTATCCCCTTTTTAATTAATGCCAGGTTCTCCATTTCCTTAATTTATAATTGCATTCCGCTGCTCACCAAATTCTGCGTAAGATGGCAACAAATAAATTTCTACTACCCTTTGGATTCTTGATTTAGATGGCTGTGTCATTTGAATTAATGGTTAGTGTATCCTTTTTTCCATCTTTATAATTATCTCCCCTATACTACCTAATTTTTACTCAACATACTACAAATACAAATTATAGTACTTTATTAAATTCATGCTCTGTAATGCTCCTACTAGGCATTACATTAATTCTTTACCGTGCGCAAGCACGGTATATTTCTGCTAGTACCACAAAAATGGTGGAGACAACCAAACCATACTGCATAATCATCCATTATTTCATCTTTAAAAAATAGCTTATTGCTTGTTAAAAATGTTCTTGTTCCCCACGAATTAAACATCTGAAGTCTTTAGCCATTGTTGAAAAACTTGTGTGTGTGTTTGTTTGGATTCAGTCATTTTCCTGGTGGTCTTGAAAGTCATTTGATGTAAACCAAGTTCGAAAGTTTGAATGTCCCTCGTATCACTGTTAGAAATAGTTAGTGATGAATCTCACATTAAAAATATGTGAAAAATGTAAGAGGTTTATAGTCAAGTGCATATCTATTCAAATCAATTTGGATGGTAGAAAATTTTGGGGAAAAATTTCAAAATTGCACATGCATTTGGAGGGAAACTTTAATTAATTTCATTTTAATATTTCTTCTTAACTAAACGGTTTCCTTTTAGGGGTTGTATCTGATGATACAACGTATACAACTGTTAAGTGTCCGTTCATTTTTAAAAAGTACCTATTCATGAAGAAATACGTTTTCAAAAGACATGACATATCTTTTAGAATATCTGAACGTTGTAAATAAGAGTGTCCAGATAACAGAAAACTCACTTTTACTTCTGTTTTACTATTCTTCTATTTTGTTCAAAACAATATTTTCTAAACCATTTTTGGGAGAATTTCTGCACACTACTGTGTGAAAATTCTGGTTGGCTTTATTATTCGTAGAGAGAGTTGCCGCAAACCCGATATTAGAATAGTGAGGGCAAATTTCCTTAATGAAAGTGAATTTTCACGTCAAATCCGTTTTCTATTGTTGTAGTTATTATTGTTTACTAACAATCACATGGCAAACTTTGAAGATATTTTGCAATTCATATCTATGGACGATTTTGGTCTTTAGGTGCAACTCATGAGATTTTCAAATTTTCCGGGTGGTTTTCATAAAACCTTTTCTTAGCTTTTCATTAGAGGCACATGGTTCTTTAAGGAGAAAAAGATTTGTGGCACTTTCTTGCCACAGAAAGTAGAACTAAAAAGCTACTTACTGTTTTATAGGAAGTGTGGACATTGTAGACTTTATTTAAGTGATTTAAATTGTTCAAACTGATGGCCAAGAGGTATAACACCAAAGGAAAGAAGAAGAAAATTTTTTTTGAAGCTTTTTAATTCCTTTTTGAGTTTAGGCCCTTGTGGAACATCGGCTGAGGACTTAAGTGGTATGAGTAAAAAATTTGAAGGACAAAAAAATTTATCAATTGCCTTTCGCGACGAGGTCAAGAAATTGATTGGTTTAGGGACGCATAATTAGTTGCCTTATAATATATTGCTATGCTACTCAGCAAAGTAATTCCGAGGTTAACCAAAAACTTGTTCCTAATGATAACGGATTTTTTTTAAAAGAAAAAAAAAGCATTAAGAATGAAATTCTGGTTGAGGACTATATTAACAATCTGTTCTTTTTTCGTTCTTAATGCTTCTTTTTCCCGAAAAAAAAATGAACAGATTGTTAATATAGTTCTCAGTTAGAATATATTTCTTTTTTCCATTCTTAATGCTTTTTTTTCCTTAAAAAAAACAGATTGCTAATATAGTTCTTAGTTGTATGAGTCGTGGCACTCGCGAGCTAATCGTAAGTACTTTGAGTCAAAACTCGATTTGAATTCGATCAACATTGAACTCGAGTCAAACTTGAGTTGATCGAGTCGAGTTTGAACTCGAATTCAAAGATATTCAGTTCGTTAATTAGCAAGCCGACTCGATTATATATTATTTTTTATTTTAATATTGAAATTACATATATATTCACAATATTTTATTGTTTATTAAGAAAAATTACTATTTTATTCATTTAAAAAAAACAAAATAAGTATTTTAAAATTTTTAAACTTGAGTTCGAGCTTGAATCAGCTTGAATTTGCAACTGAGATCGAGCTTTACATTGAAAGCTCATCGAGTTCGAACTAGTAAAATTAAGTCGAAACTCAATTTGATTGGGTTCAAGTTCGACTCGACTTGACTCATTTGCAACCATAATATTCAGTTAGAATTTCATTCTTAATGCTTTTTTTTAAAGATGCTTTTTTTTTCTCTAAAAAAAAAAGAATTGATTGCTAATATAGTCCTCAGCTCGGATAACGGAATTGAAACTTAAGAATATAACAATTGCAATGACAGCCAACGGAACAACAGATATTCATTGAACTAAAAGGTAAGCATAAGCCTTTACATTCCATTAACAAAAAAAAAAAAAAGTTTAAAATTCAATATAACGCATTTGAACAGTTAATTTCGGTACAAAGCATGAAAGATTATTGCATCGTTGATCAAATGTGGAAATGCAGCAGTCAACAAAGACATAAATTGGGTGTATTTTACTGCAATAATTTATTGGATATTAAACGGTCCTAATTCTAAAGAGCTGTAAAAAGTGTCCCACTTTCTTGAAAAGAAGCGTCCTACTCTCAATGCAATAATTTGCATCTCGAATCATATTTTGGCGAAAGGTGTTTTATCTATGAATCCTTTATTGCGGATCCAATAAATGATGCGTTCTATACTTGAATCACAATGACCAACTTTAGTTACAACTTTATCTCCTGGTAATATTTGTATAGAACATATAACCTACCATCACATCTTCATCATCTAAACAAAGTCGAAACATGCCATTGGGAGGCAATTTGGTAATCAAACCTTCGTGAATCACATTTGTGTTCTTTCATTCAAGGTAAAGTCCCTTTGAAATATCAACTAATGAGGGAGGAGGCTAGGAGCAGTAGTAGACAACTCGAACCATTGATATTTCAACAACGTGTTTGCGTCTTCATTCTTCTCCTTCAAAAAGCAAAAAGAAAAAGTCTTCGTTCTCCACTGAGTTTGGCTACATTAACATGGATAGACCGTGTTCCAAACCACGTCTTGACATTTTCATAAAGGGGTGACATTTTGTCTTACTTTTGGTTCAGACACCAAAGAAAGGCGGTTCATAATCAATAATTGCCTTTTTTATTTGTTTCACGTGTCATGGCCTTTCATTCTTCTGTTTTGTCTCCATATTAACTTAGATCAATTGGAACCTTTTTTTTTTTTTTTTTGCCTCGATCAACTTCAACTTAAGCGGAGGGAGGGAAGAGTTGGTGTGGTAGAGGAGGGAATATAAGTGAGAGATCTCGAATTCAAGACTTCCCACTCACAAAAAGGGAAAAAAAATTCAACTTAAGCATACACTCCCCTTGTCTTGTGTACTAGATATGAGAAATAGGATGAGTAGATTTCGTGCTCATGTGTCATATATGATGAAGTAGATATTGAGATCAGTAAGTATCTGTTGCAGGGGATTAAACGTTCCGAAGGATTTATGCACCTCTGCCCGTGTCATTGTCTGGGGTACTTAAAAGACTATAAACACGTCGAGTTCAATCGAGTTTTTTCGAATTTGTTCGACCAAAGGTTAAGCTCACTTTAACCAAGTTTGAGCAGTTGAATAGCTACACAATCTCAAGTATATATATATATATATATATGTATGAGGCTCGAAATCTTGTTGAGTTTAATTAAGCCCCATGCATATAAATATTTTTTAAAAAAAATTTTATATTTAAAAGGTACAAAATAAAAAATTATATTGCTTAATGGATTACACGCATCATAGATGGAGCTTCCGTTGCCTGGCTTTCCGTTGCTGGTGCTGATCCCACATCATAATGGATATGATGCGTGTAATATTCATGACACGACTCCAATGAAAGTCGTGTCATGGAGCGGCATTGCCCCCAGTACACCGCTCTGTGGATGCCCTTAGTTGCAAGGAAGTTGATATGGAACAGAACCTAGTACTGTCCGGCTGCCGTGTCAGAAACAAAAGTGTCATTCACAAGAAAAGGTCCGAGTGCAGGGCATCTGCTTGGCAACCATGATTTTTCCCATTAGTTCATCACTGTTTCAAACTTGATGTACAGCCTTTTTGTCCTTTTTCGAACAGTAGAAAAGATGTTCACGATCATGCTATAATCAATATTTTATTTTTACTACAAATTAATGTTAAAATGATAAGGCTACCTCTCTTAACCTCAGGTCCAAATTAACGGCCCGGAGGCCTACATGCGCAGTCCCAGACTCCCAGCGGACACGGCTCCGCATGACGTCCCGGTGTAGTTGAGAGTTGAGAGTCGCGAGCTCTGACTTACAAAATCTTCGGTTGCGCAATGGATAAGTATTGAGATTTGGTGCGGTTCGATTATTGTTCTTTTTATATTAATTGATGTATAATTATATTACATTATTTAGGAATTTGGCTCAACCAGTCAGGTCTCCAGCCTTCTTCGTCGGTAAAAGAAATTTACACTTTTTTTTTTTTTTTAATTTAGGAACTGCAACGGTACATCAATTTGTGGAGCAGGCGACCTAATGTCAATTCATTGATAGTGCGGGTAGAGTTTTTGACGAGCTAAATCGAGTCGAATATTTGACGTTCAGACTCCATTAATATATTTTATAAATAAGATTCGAACTCAATCAAATATTAACGAAACTATAAATTAATTCTACGTACATGAGCTTCTAACATCATCTCTGACGTGGCTTTCATGGTTTACATCTATATAAATGTGTGACCTGAAAGAGCAAAAACATAGAGCTCAAGAGAGTGCAAATTATTGTAGTGTTAAAGAAATTTGATTTAATTACGCCAACAAATAGGAAGAGGGGGAAAAAGAGAAAGAAATGCTAATGGATACTATAGTGTCTTACCTTGTACTCTATTTTGTCATCTGGGCATGCTTCTATCTGCTGACATCAAATTTAAGGTCCCGAAAATCAGCCACCAGACTTCCTCCGGGGCCCTATTCGTTTCCAATCATCGGTAATCTCCATCAGGTTGGCCAAAATCCTCATCAATCATATGCAAAACTGTCTAAAACTTATGGACCTTTGATGTCTCTTAAGCTAGGAAGCAAAGCAACCGTAGTCGTATCATCTGCAAATGTTGCAAGAGAAGTGCTACAAAAATATGACCAGATGTTTTCGGGCCGATCAGTCACGGGTGCAGCTCATACACTTGATCACCACATGGTGTCTATGGTCTGGCTGCCTGTGTCCAGCCAATGGCGGAACCTTCGCAAGATGTGCAAAGAGAATATCTTTGCAACACAAAGACTCGATACCAGCCAAGGCCTTCGTCAAGAAAAGCTTCAAGAATTACGCCATTATTTGCATAGGTCCAGCGTTAGCAGGAAAGCTGTGAATGTTGGTGATGCAGCCTTCACAACCTCTCTGAACTTAATATCCAGGACTCTATTTTCTAAAGATTTTGCCGACTATGATTCTGATTCGTCTCAAGAACTCCAAGAGATTGTGTGGAGGGTGATGAAAAATGTTGGCGCTTTTACTCTCTCAGATTACTTTCCAGTTCTACGGGTGATTGATCCCCAGGGCATCATGAGGGACGCCAAGTTCTATTTCCAAAAGTTGTTTGATATTTTTGATGATATCATTAATGAACGGCTACAAGTCAGAGGTACATCAGAGGCTAAGAAGAATGATCTGTTGGAAGCACTCTTGGATCATAGCATAAAGAATGAGTTTGAGTTCGGCCGCAATGATCTCAAACATTTGCTTTTGGTAAGTGTTAAGTCCAAAACTTTTGTCTATATGTACTTGAGATTTCTTGTAATTTCATTAACCTTGGCCCTAGGGCTGATTCTGTGCATTAGCTTTTCAGTGGAATGGAAGTTTTTTCTCTGCTGAAGGTCCTAAGAAAACAGATGGCAAGCTCACATGCATGCGTTGATAGTCATAAAAAAATTTCCAATTTAGCTGTAGAATGACTGCTAATACATGGCTTGTAAGATACTTAGATTGGTAAAGTCCAGGCCAGATATCTTGCACTTTGCACGATGAATCTAACTAAATCTCACACCATATGGGTAAAAGTTCTGGAAATCTGTTGGCTTGACATCATTCTAACTATGGTTTGTATTAGGATCTATTTGTGGCAGGAGCAGACACTACTTCAACCACTGTGGAATGGGCAATGGCAGAGTTACTACGCAGCCCTGATAAGTTTGCTAAAGCTAGAGCGGAGCTCAAGGAAATCATTGGACAGGAGGAAGTAGTCCAAGAATCACATATCTCGAGGCTCCCTTACTTGCAAGCAGTAATCAAAGAAACCTTTCGGCTACACCCTGCAGCACCATTACTTGTTCCTCACAAAGCAAACGAGGATGTAGAAATCAATGGTTACATAGTGCCAAAGAACACACAAGTACTTATCAATGCGTGGGCTTCGGGTAGAGATCCGACAACGTGGTCAGATCCTGAGATTTTTGAGCCAGAGCGATTTTTAGACAGGGACATTGATGCAAGAGGCCAGCATTTCGAGCTCATTCCCTTTGGTGCAGGGAGGAGAATATGTCCAGGATTGCCTCTGGCTTATCGGATGGTACACCTGATGCTAGCTGCTTTCATTCACAACATTGACTGGAAACTTGAAGAGGGAATGAAACCAGAAGATTTGGACATGGATGAAAAATTTGGGTTGTCAGTTCCAAAGGCTTTGCCTCTGGAGGCTATTCCAGTTAAGCTGTGAGTGCGATCCAATAATTTGTAGGCCTAATCATTTCAGATGATTAGAGAAAGCATTACTTGTGATTCTAATGGATATTGAGAGTCTATATAAGAATTATGTTCGTAAACAAGTGCTAGTCTGTGCACATTAGGATAAATTTATAATTTTATCTACAATAAAAATATTTGTATAATTTATAAATAGTAATTCATACTTCATTTATAAATTTTGTAATATTTAGACCCTACTTATGAATTTTTTTTACTCCTCCCAGTTTCTTTTTACAAGCTTTCCCAAAAAACAATACCAATAATCGGGGAACCTTCTTGAATACTTAATTGAATGAGTACAGGAACAAAATTTTGCTACCAATACCAAACAAATTTTAAAGCTTAGTGTCAGCAGCAATGGTAAACATTTAGTATTTGTTTGTGTCTCAGTAAAACGCAGTGGATTCTGATTTCTTTACACGAGTGGGAGAGAGGGAAAGAGATCTGACTACCCTTGCTGTCAAGCTTTTTTTTTTTTCATAAAGTTTGGATGGATTCGGCTTCGGTCATTGCTACAGGACAGGACATGCGATTGAAGAAATTTTCAATTATTGAAAATTTCAAAGGTCATGCCTAGCAGCTTTGTGCAATTGTGCTTGCAACCTTTCGAGTTTCAAATGATTCAATCGCCATTTGAAGGGATGCATCTCCAGACAAATTTCTAACATTTAATAACCATCTAAGGGATATGAAATTCTACACATGGATCAGTTTAAGGTCTTTTTGCTACAGAATTAAGGTCTATAAATCTCGAAAATTTTCTACTCTTCTCTTCTTTGTTCTTTGGCGGTTGTAACAACTTAGTGCAGAGTTTTTGCAACGAAACTTCATTTTATCCTAAGGATATTCGTCTTTGGTCTTTTGCATATTATAATGAACGAATAAAATCTTAAGGAAAGTGATTTGTAATCACAATTTTAAGCCTTTTTCTAGTTAGTTTTGCAGCTATTTCATAGTGTTCTCTTTATTGTTATTCCTACACATGCCTCCGGAATCTCAAGTCGTTTTCAGAGATTCTTACAGATTTCCTATTAACGTTGCCCTTACATCGACAGTGAAATTCGAACATATGATCTCTTGTAAGAAAGTAGTTCGTTGTTGTCAACTAAACCAACTTGTATAGGCATTCTATGTGAAGGTGGTAAGCGTTTCCATATTGTACTCAAGGACTTGATATGCCTATGGTACTCTAATATAAAGACAAAACTTATTTGTTAACCACATTAGGGTCTATGCATTACATTAAAGATATTAAACAACAAGGCTCTATGATGGGGTGTTAATTGTCGGTTATTTTATTATTAATTTTCTCCTTGATCTTGCCAAATATTGTTTTAATTTATTAATATATACTTATATTTGATATTTGGACCTATCTACAGGAAATGGAATTAAAAAGTGTTAAAAAGGGGGACTATTGGAGAAAGTTGCTACACATGTGAGAGACTCCAAACAAGCTTCACAAAGCAGACGGAGGGCATTTCCTTTTTGCTGATTAGGAGTTGAAGTCTTTGAGGAGCAAGAGGAAACGAAAAGAGAAAAATTCGGCTGGAGCTTACTTGTGGGAATTGGACTCTCAATTTGTGCGGGGACCACGGAGAGAAGAAAGGCATTAGTCATTTAAATTGAAAGGAAACAAACGTGCATAGGGTTGTTTTTGTTCCTTACTCGTGGGGACCACTGGATAGATAGTTTTAGTAATTTCCTTTTGGCTATATAAGGACAATCGTAAGAAAGGCTACAGAGAGTTTTTAGCATAGTTTAGTTTTATTCTTTCTTGGTTCCTTTGATGGCCGGGACCTCAGTTAAATTACGTGGAGATTTTCTCATGAGACGTGGCTAAGTTTTTCTAGTCGAAGGTCAACTTGAAGGCGCGGTTCCAAATATCTGTGAGATCGAATTAATTTTATTTATTTCTTTTATTCATTGGTATTTGTACGTTTCCTGATTTAATTGCTTATGCTTGTTATGTTATTTGACTGTCAAGGGCCCGATATTCGAATTAACCTAATGATCTAATGCCAAATTAATTGATTGAATCCGTAATTGTTCAATTGATTAATACCAGTGGCGACTAGCGTGATTGGTTTCATGTTAGGGAAACGTATGATCTAACTTAAACAAACCCTCGTAGCGTGTTTGTTGGTTAGGATTGGGCTTTTCTAATTATTAATGCAATCGAGTAATTAAATCCTACGGTCGTACCTAGGGTTATTTCTTGGTTAGAGAAATAGTTAACGGTCGTACCTTAATTATCGAGAAATTAAGGAAAGGTTGGTTGTTCATCGCGTGTATGACAACTATAACTAATCTAGTAATGAGTAATTGAATTATCTTTGCATCGATGATCAGTTGAATGGACCGTGTCTGAAAAGATACACCTTTGGTTAGAGTCGTATTGATTATTGATTAATTCTTATTTATTTCTTTTAGTTGTTTCATTAGTTAGTTAATTAGTGGTTGTGTATGGATTATGAGTATTCCATTGAATAATTTGTGATTATTCGGTCAAATAGTCTGACCGAATAAGAATAACTCAATCCCGTATGGATAGTCGATTTAATGAGAATACAATATAGGATTCGCGTTTGGATAATATATATTCTATTCTGCAAGTATTAAATTTTTTCTAAACACCGCTTTTTTGGTTATATCACATTATTCACCTCAAATTGCAACCTCTTTGAATGAAAGTTGATATTATGTGATTTTATTTTGCGGCGACGAAATAGTTCTTCATAAAATTATGATATACCAAATTAAATATAGATTACAGTACTTTCAATACAGAGACGTGGTCTCACACTTGTGAAGCAAGCATAAAGGAATTAGGAAACATACAGACATGACACAAACAAGCAAATTTTGCGGAATTTAAAATGATGCAGTAGTACTTGGATTAACCTTATTCGCATCACACTAGTAGTAACACACAGTAGTCATTCGCTTCTAATCCCTCACCTTCGCCTCGCACTCCGATACGCATTCCACATTCCATTTGCCATTGCATCTCTCATTTCATGCCATTCATTGACCTCTTCTTGCGAGGCACTTAGGGGTTGAATTTCTGGCATTGGTGGGACCCCACCTTCTCCTTCGATATCCATCTCTTGCTCATGATCATTGAATATGTCATCATCTGGTAATTCGTCCCGTATGAAATTGTGTAGAGTGCAGCAAGCTATCACCACATTTATTTGTGTACTCATATAAAAATTAGGTACAGGACCGCGTAGGATGGTGAATCTCCTTTTAAGCACCCCAAAGCATCTCTCAATTACATTTCTAAGTGATGAGTGATGAGTATTGAAAAGTTGCTTCGGGGAGGAACACCCACGCCGACCCTGTGCAGGTTGTCGAGGTGTTCCACGATAAGGTGCAAGAAATCCAGGAACATTTCTATATGCCGAGTCCACAAGGTAGTATTTTCCTACAAAATAAAATGGAATAAAGGTAAAAAATAAGTAAGTACACACTACGATTTCTTTAGTCATTCACTCACATACAGTGGCAAGCACATAATTGGACAAAAATTTATAAAAATATTGTCATGCACCTGGAGGGGGCATCGGAAAATGTGTAGGTCCTGTTAGTGCTCCGTCCAAGACACGTGCATCATGGGCGCTTCCTTCCCAACCAGCATAAATATATGAAAAGCGCATATCAAAATCACAAATGGCTAGTACATTTTGAGTTGCTTGTCCATGCCTATTCGTGTACGCCGTTTGCTGTCCAGGTGGCGGATGTGCTGGAACATGTGTACCATCTAATGCACCTACAGCATTCTTGAACATTTGATAAGTTAGTTAGTTGGTAAATGCATAATGAAATTTGACACGATAATTGGATATTAATGCACAGCGTGTTGGAACCAAAGGGTAAGCAATACTTTATACTACTTTACCGTAAACCACTGGGCAAATCTCCGATCAGTGTAAATCTTAGGATGCACTTCGTTCTGTCCTCTTGGACGAATGAGAATTTTTCCCAACTCACAAAGCCCCCGTAACACCTCATGAATGTTTCGGCAGATGGTCTCCGGGGAATGTTGGAATCGTTCAGCCAGGCACCGCATTCGATGATTGTGGCTTAACATAACTAATGTCATGCACACTGCTTCCTCTATGAGGACTCTTTTCTGGGGATTTTGCGGTACATATCCTCCACTCACAAGAATGTCACATAAGCGCATGAAGCTATCCACCGTTATTCTACAGTTCTCAAGTACTCTTGCAGGATGACCATTAATCACTTCGGCCACATACGCCCGGCCAGATAACATGCTATTTCTGCACGGTAGAGGCAATATATATCCTGCTAGACGTTCAGCCACAGGGTTGAATAGAATAACCGTCGCCCATTGGATGAGTTGCCAGTCGTCGTCATCATCATCAGCATTATTCGAAGATGATCCCCAATTATTCCAACTGTTATCCATATTTGTATTTTGGCTGCCGATGAAACCTGGTACACCACCTGTCCAAACGAAACTTTAGCTAATCTACTGAACGGATGACTCCAAAGTTAGCTATAACATCAACAAATTTCATGCAGTAATATACCTATTGCCTAGCTAATATACCTGTTGCTAATAAATTTGTCTAGTTTAGCTAATATTTTTAAGAGTTTAGAAATGTAATATACCCTAGCTTAGGTAATATACCTTAGCTAATATTTTTTAATAGTAGAAAAAACCAAAACTGATTGTTATAGTAATATACCTTAGCTAATATTTTTAATAGCTTAGCTAATATACCATTAGGCTAATATTTTTTAATAGTAAAAATAACCAAAATCCTGTTTTTATAGTAATATACCTTAGCAAGATATTTTTAATAGCTTAGGTAATATATCTTAGCTTAGCTAATATACGACTGGGCTAATAGTTTTTAATAGTAAAAATAACCAAAAGTAATTTTTATGGTAAAAGATAGCTTAGCTAATATTTTTAATAGCTTAGCTAATATACCTTGATTGATAGTTTTTAATAGTAAAAATAACCAAAGTAATTTTTACTATTAAAAGATAGCTTACCTAATATACCTTAGGTAATATTTTTTAAAAGTAAAAGTAAGCAAAA